TCTAAACTGGCCTAACAGGCCAGACTTATACATCAAATGTAGGGAATAGGGAACCTGATCACATATCAAGGGTCTCAGACATCAAGGGGTGGGTATTAGCAGGATTCTTTGTAAGGCTTGCTTAAGCAGGCTAAGGACAAAGACTAAGGATGAGCCCTAAATGAATAGAGAGCTCAGGGGAACCTATATGGTTTAGTCAAGAAAAGAATCTCTGCCATGTTAGACTTGCACACTGAAAAGTACAAAAATATTGTTAAAAAATACCCAAATGAATAGAAAGATACCCCACCGTCACAGAACTTTAACACTGTTAAAATGGCAACACCCCTCCCCAATTGATCTACAGATTTCAGGTGACAGTTTTTTTTTTTTGCAGAAACTAATAAGCTTATCCTAAAATTCATATATAAAGGAAAGATACCCAGAACAGTCAAAGCCATCTTATAAAGGAAGAACCAAGTTGGAGGATTGATATTTTCTGATCTTAAAACCTATGAGAAAGATACAATAATCATGACAATGTTGTACCAGCTTAGAGATAAAAGGAACAGAAATGAAAGTCTAGAAATAAAGGTATAAAATCTATGGATAACTTATTTTCCATAACAGTGCTAAGATCACTCAATACTGAAAGAAAAGGGTTTTCAACATATGGTTCTGGGACAACTGAAGATATCTCTTTCTCTCTCTCTCTCTCTCTCTATATATATATATAATATATACATATATTATATATATATATAAACCTGGACACCTTCCTTACCCCACAGACAAATACAAATACTAACTTAAGACAGATCTAAATGTTACAGTTAAAACTTGGATGAAAACATAAGAATCTTAGTGACCTTGGCTTAGGTACTTTCTTAAAATAACATCCAAAGTACAAGCAATGAAAAGAAAAAAAATAAACTGGACTTTATTAAAATTTAAAACTTTTGGTTTTCAAATGACACCATAAGGAAAGTAAAAGACAACCCACAGAATAGAAGAAAATATTTGCAAATCATGTATCTGAAGGATTTGGTATGCAGTATATATAAAGTACTCTTACAGCTTAACCATAAAAAGACAAGTAATCCATTTAAAAATGGAAAAAAGGATTTTTGAATAGATTACTTCCCTAAAGATAGAAAATAATGACCTATAAACACATAGAAAGATGTTCAGCACTATTACCTATCAGGGAAATGCAATCAAAACAACGAGATACTATTCACACACATTAAATTGGCTATAATACAAACAAAAAACATAAGTTTTGGCAGAGATGTGGATAAGTTGGCATCCTTATACTTTGCTATTGGGAATGTGCAGCCACTTTAACAAAGTCTGCTCATCCTCAAATTGTTAAATACACAGTTACCATGTGACCCAGCAACTCTATTGCTAGGTGTATACTTAAGAAATCTGAGACTATATGCTTACACAGAAACTTGTATACAAATATTCACAGCAGCATTAAGTATAAACCAGTTAAATATCCACTAGTTGAGACCATGGATAAATAAAATGTACAGATACAATGGAATATTATTCAGTTGTAAATAGTAATGAAGTATTGATACATGCTATACCATGAAGTTCAACATTATTATGCTAAGTGAAACAATCTAAGATACAAAAGGTCATATTATCATATGATCCATTTACACAAAATCTACAAAGAGGCCAGTTTACAGGGGTTGAAACAAAATGGGGAGTAACTAATATGGTATCTTTTTCAAGATGATGACAATGTTCCCAAATTGTAGCAATGGTTGAACAATTCTGTGAAAATGACAAAAAACACTGAATTACACACTTCAAATGAGTAAATTCTATGGTATGTGAATTGTATTTTCATTAAACTGCTAAAAATCAAAGTGAAGTAATTGGAAATGTTTGTGCTATATTTATAATTCACTGTTTCTATACATCTAAAAACAAGTCATTTAAAAAAAGTTGATTACAAAGGATAATTTTCTGGGAACTTTATGCATCTGAGATAAATACTGTAATACTGTAGTTGGGTACCCTCCACTTTCATGTAAATAACTTGGTGACCAAAAAAAAGACTGAAGAGAAGTTATCAGCAATTCTCTCAGTAGATTCTCTAGTTTCCATCTGGATCAGGTATATCTGGCCCATGGCTCTGGGGTAGCACGAGACCCTGAACAGCTAGTAATGCAGCCCTACAAGATCATAAAATGTAACATTATTATATGATTTTCAGTGATAATTCCCATGACTTGATTGTGTGGTGATCAAGCACAGACTGTATAGGCAACAATGAAACACTGTAGAGGAGGGCACAGTGGAGTGCTAACTCTGCCTCTTGTGTCTGCCACACACAGTCGAACCATAATCCATGTGTATCAGACATTACATGTGCTTGAATAGTAAAATGCAGTGATTATCAATAATAGTATTTCAACCTAGTTACATATGTGTGTGCTTGTGAAAATATGACAGTTTTCTTATTTATTATACTTGGGCTTATTGTGTTACTTTGTTGTTTGCTATTGTTGTTGTTGTTGCCTTTTTGAGACAGGGTTTCACCAGGCAGTTCAGGTTGGCCTTGAACTCACTTTGTAGCCTAGGCGGGCCTCGAATTCACAGCAATCCTCCTGCCTCAGCCTCCCGAGTGCTGGGATTACAGGCGTGTGCCACACACCCAGCTTGTGTTACTTTGTAAAATACTTTTTTTTTTTTTTTTTGGTACTGGGAGTCAAACTCAAGATCTTGTGCTTGCCAGGCAGGCACTTGTATCACTGAGCTATATCCCCGGCCCTGTAAAATAATTTAATAAATTACAACATAAAAAATTAACGAAGTTTTGTTACTTATCTATATTAATTGTATTATGTATTTTATACATAGCCCGAGACAATTCCTCTTTACTCAATGCAGTCCGGGCAAGCCAAAAGGTTACACACTATAATCTAGATGGGTATTGAAAACTAAAAACAATTAATGGAGATCACTTTAAATAGCCAAAAGACATATATATCAAGAACCACAAAAATGTTTCTGCATTTTGATTACTAATGCCATTCCTGGGAATTAATATAAAGAAAGTAAGAAAAACATAGTAGGCACAAAAACAATAGTACCTTTATTGTAACATGAATCACTAAATCAGTATTACTGAGGGTGTTTGCCAATGTTTTAAATAAGTCTGTAAGCATACTATTCAGTTCCAGCGACATTATTTTCATAGCAAGATGATCTCAATAAAGGAAGTACAGCATGGAATGACATTTTTCAATAAGCTCTATCTGGTAGCAAAACAGCAGTCTGAGTAATACAGCTCTAAAATAACTAAGTGTCCAAAATAAAGACATGGTTAGGTAACCTACGATACATGAACTCATAGGAGGATAAAGTGAACTAAAAATAGCTAATAATTACTCACCTCTTACTATATGCTAGGCACTGTACAAAATTATTTCCATATATTACTTCTTTTAGGCTGGTAATCTTAGCTTCTACTATCATCTCTTTTTTGCAGATTAGAAAGCAAAGCCCAGATGATTGCTAAAAGGTTAACAGCAGGTGGGAAGTAAAACCGAGACTCAAATTCATGACATATCGGACTCTAAAGTTTAGTTACTGTATTATATTGCCTTCACAAAAGTGAACATAAACTATAACTGTAACTATTATGTATTTGTGGGGATAAAAGTTTAAAGAAAAAATGGAAGCAAATCTTTAGGACAATGAAACCAGGACTAAGTATTTTTAAATGACTCCATGATTTGTAACTGTTCTAAGAATAAATGTACAAGTAATTCAAATACTAAATCCAAGATCATAAATAAATCAACTTTTATAATATTTAACAATGGCTCAAATCTCTTACTAAGTGATTATATTACCATTTTCATCAGTTTTGTAAAAATATTACCCTTAGATGATGTGTTTAAAAAAGTGGTTTCCTGGATGCACCTTGCAACTATGTTAAGTGAAATAAATCAGACATACAAGCTTAAATATCACCTGGTTTCTTATATGAGAAACCCAAAATATAAATAAAGAGCAAAATAAAAGATAGATAATAAGGAGATAGATCTTTTGCAGAAGGGTGTCATGTATATGTACCAACTCCCCACTAGCAATGTGATCATTATTTGCTATAAATATGTACTGATAACAGAAAAACAGAAAAACTAGTGGTTCTCAAACTTGAATGTGCAGTGGGATCCTCTGTAGCACTTCTCAAAACATAGATTGCTGGGCCTCACCCCCACAGGGAATCAGCAGGTCTGGGTTAAGCTCAAGTATTTGCATTTCTAAGAAATGTAAATATTTCTCAGGTGATGCTGATGCTTCCAGTCTAGGGACCGCATTCTAAGAACCAGAGCTTCTGAAATACTAGCATCCACCCTAAATTTAAATACCAATGCATAAATGAATTAAAAAATAAACGATGCATTTTGTGGATTATTTTAACATTGTTAAACATTGCTGACAAAATGAACATAACCATTAGATAGAAATTGTAACATTGGGGCTGGGGATTTAGCTCAGCGGCAAAGCGCCTGCCTGGCAAGCGCAAGGTCGTGAGTTCGGTTCCCGGTACCGGAGAAAAACCAAAAAAAAAAAAAAGAAATTGTAACATTATTTATTCTTTTGAAGAACACAGCAGTGAAATTCCTCAATCAAGAGCCAAAACCTTTCTTCACCGGTCAAATAATTATATTTGAAGTATATACTAAAAACATCAGCTATCTAGGTATCTCCAGACAAAAGTGTTCTAAATTGTTAAACTACCATAAGGTTTTTGGAAATCAGTCTTGCTAAACAAACTAATTTAGAGTGAAGAATAATTACAAGTACTAGGAAGCAACCATTCATACAAGCAGACAGTACCATAGGTAAGTAATTTTCATATCTCAGACGACAATTACCTTCTATAAGAAAGTACTATTTCACCCTCTTGAAAATCTGACCCTGATTAATCAAGTAATCTGTTATCATTTTTGTCCACATAATGAAATTATGCCATTGAAACATACCTATATTTCTGACCATGATTCCTTTCAGTTCATCCACTTGGGCTTGAGTCTCCATCACTTTGTCTAGGCCCTTATTCTCAGAGTGATGCTTCTATAAGAAAGTAAGTTTTAACTTATGGTACCCAGATATTATTTATAGAAAAATAAAACCAAGAAGAATGACAATTTATATTTAAGAATGCTATAAAATTATATCTCTATTATAAAGCAATGTCACTTTACTGAAAAAACGAGCATCAAACCTAGGGAAAAAACTACCTACATAAAAAATGTTTTCATATGAAATATAGTATAAAATATAATCTCATTTGAATAAAATAAAGTAAAACATTTATAATATATCAAATATACAACTGAGACTAGGGTATAAATGAGGGGGAGTATAATCTATATTCAGAGAAGGAAGAAAGGATAAAAAGAAGACTGTAGATGGGGCAAGTAGGACAGGACAGGGAAAAGGCATCACACAAGCCCACTTTTTGGGCATGCTCAGTTTCTTAGCATCTGTTATTCTGTTTTCTGTGACTGCAGCATCCATCCCAATTTCATTGGCTTCTCACAGGATCTAGAATCTAAAACATTGATGATAATATGCATTTTGAAATTATTATCCATAGCTGACAGTTATGGAGTGTTTAATACACAGTACTCCCATCACATCACTGTGCTAAGTGCTTCAAATGAGATATTACTTAACCCACCCAGAAACTGTGCAATTAAGATGCTTTCATTATCTTTACTTATAGATAATGAAACTGGCACTTATTTGTTCAAGGGGGTCATATACATATCTGGAAATAATGATAAACCAGAATATTTTGCTGCCAGTCAACCCTACTTACTTTTTTTTTTGTCCTTTTCAGACAGAGTCTCGCTATGCAGTTTAGGCTGGCCTTGAGCTTACTTTGTAGCCCAGGCTGGTCTCGAACTCACAATGATTCTCCTGCCTCAGCCTCCTGAGAGCTGGGATTGCAGGCGAGCACCACCACACCCGGCTTATAACCCTACTTATTTCTGACTGCATTTTAGTTGGTGGTGTTTTGCATAACTTCACATATGTGGACATTTCCAGTGGGAAGTATGAAGCAAACCAACCAAACCAACTGCTTGCATAATAAAGGTTTATAAATACCTAATTTAAAGAAATTTCATTTCTAGAGGAATGAAGGAATGAGTTTGTGTGTGTGTGTGCATGCATGTGCATGTGTGTTTATTTATAAATACCATACTCAAAAAGTTTTAAAAAGACCACGAGAAGTGAAAAGTATTCAATTACAAATGTCTTTTTTTCCATATTCACAAAAACATCATAGCTAGAGGTTATATTTTTGTACTCTAATAGTTTCATGAATAAAAGGTAAACATTTGGGGGGGTACTGGGAATCAAACTCAAGATCTTGCACTTGCCAGGCAGGCGATTATGCCACTGAGCTCTATCCCCAGCCCCAAAGGTAAGCATTTTAAAAGGTGCTTAACATTGTAAGTCATCATGAAAATATAAATTAAAACCACGATGAAATACCACTGCACATCAACCAGAATGACTAAAATTAAAAACACACACAAGTGTTGACAAGGATGCAAAAACACTGGAACTACTAGTGAGAATGTAAAATGGCACAATCACTGTGGAAAAAAGTGTAAGAAATTTAAAAATTACACAACACTTACCATATGACCCAGCAATTCCATTCCTAGGTATTTACCAAAGAGAAATAAAAACATATGTCTACACAAAGATTTGTATGTGGAGATTCATAGCAGCTTTACTACGATAGTTGAAAAATGAAAGTGACTCAAATATTTGACAACAAGTAAATGGATAAACAAATTGTGACATATGCATACAATATTACTCAGCAAAAAGGAAAAAGACTACTGATTTATACAACATGGATGAGTATCAAAAGCCTTACACAATGCAAAACAAGCAAGATATGTAAGAGTACATACTGTATGATTCCATGGAAACTGTTATGGTTTGTGCCTGGCTGTCTCCCCAAAGCCTTACGCAGTCATGGGTATAGGTTTCTAGAGTTTATGATTGATCCACGCTCCAGTGCTGGGACTATGGGTGTGAGTGCTACACCTGCCCTGGAGTGGGTAGTTTGCATACAATGTAAGTGAGGGAAAGAGGTTTGCTCTCTGCTCCTCCTCACTTTTTGTTCTTGTTGTTCTTGCTATTTTCCACCACCATGAACTCTTGCCCTCTGCCATGTGCTCGCTGCCTTGGAGCCTGCTGAGTATGGACTGAAACCTCCACAAACTATGAGCTAAATAAACTTTTCCTTCCTTAATTTTGAGTGTCAGGTATTTTGTCTCAGCAACAAGAGAAAAGTAACTAAGACAGAATTTGGTACCAGAGAAGTGGGGTTGTTGCTGTGACTATACCTGACCACGTGGTTCAAGAGCCTTTGGAAATGGCTTGTGGGAAGTGTTTGGAAAAGTTCGGAGATTTTGCCTGAAAGAGAAGCACTAGAACAACTTCAGCTGTTCTGAATGGGAGATTCTGGTCAGAGGTCAGAAGACCAGAAGGTTGATAGCAACTCTTCTGGTAAAGACCAGGCTTGACAGGTTTCTGCTGGGAAGAAGGACTGCATTGGTTGTTGGAGTCCAGACAATGTATGTTATGGCTTGGCAGAAAGTTTATCTGCATTTTGCTCATGTCCAGAGACTTTGCCTGGGACTGAGATTAAGTGGGGGGGAACTGATTAATCTGGCAGAAATTTCAAGGCAGTTGAACGTTGAGGCGGTGGCATGGCTATTGTTGGGAGCTTTTAGCCAGATTTATGTTGAGAATCAAGAGCAAAGAGCCCAGCAGGATGATTTATTTATTTTTTAATTTGAAAAATAAAAGGATGAAAACATTAACAGACAGACAACCTTTTACAAAATAGCAAAAGAACAGTACAGATAATACAGAATTACAAACAAAGTGGTAGGAAATTAACAATGCTTGCTGTATTACATATTGATATCTTCAAAGTGGTT